TCTGTCATTCCCCTGAATAAATCTGAATGGCTTCACTTTTATTCCGAAGAATGAAGTCTGGACTCTTATCAAGCATGGCCTTTAAGATGCTGCCTATCTCTTGGACCTCACTTCCCCCCACCTGCTCATTAGGCTCCACTCACTGTCCTTTCGGATCTGCAAAGACACCAAGCTCATTTCTGCTTTAGAACCTTTGCACTGGTTATTCTTTCTGCCTAAAATAAAATGCTCACTCCTCTGATCCTTGCAGAGCTAACTGCTATATGTCACTCGAGTCTCCAACCAAAGCCCACTTCCTCTGTGTAGCTTTTCCTTCCTGCCCACTCTTCTGACTCTGCCTGCAGCGGCCCAGTCATTCACCAAGACCTCTGAGATAGGCATGCTCCTTGACTTGGAGATTAACCCATCTCTTAAAATAACAAATTACATGCCATGTAATACTGTATATACTGTATTGTTCCAATATAGCTGTAAATGTTCCAAATTCCCCACATTGTCAAATTCAATTAAGTATTTGCTGACCACCTTCTATGAATAAGGCAGTACAGGAAATAAAATGGTCCTGCCCTAACTGTCTTAAGTGAAGCTTCTCCAACTCTTGGCCTGATCATAATGATACCAGTACTTAAAAGGCACTGCCAGAAATTCGGTAAGGATGCTAAGATGTTCTCTCCCAGCCCATCCCTATCCTAACTACATTTTACACACACATCATCTGTAGGATGTGAACTCTCACATAGGGGCTTGCCTAAAGATGTCTACAGGTTGTTTAATTTGAGTCCTGAGCCTGAGGATAGCTTTGGTACCCTCAGCCCATGCAGTGTTCACTCTGTCCACAGCATCCATGGAAAGCATGACTTCAGCCATCTTTCCTGTACAAACTGTCCTCATTGTTCACTGAACATTGCCCGTCTGTTCCACATGGTCTGATAACACTTTAATTTGTCTTTGATTTCTCTGTATCTCCAAAGAAAACCAAGTGTACCCAGCCACAACTGCACTTAAAGAGAGACAATTTGAGACTCAACCATGAAAAGCCAGAACTGTTCCAGTTTTACTCTTGGCCAACAGTAAAGACACAAATACAAGGTGATTGGTTATTAGAGCTGTGGCCATAGGACAGAGGGCCGACTTTACCCATGGGGCTCTGGTTTTTCCTCTATAAAATGAAGTTAGACAAGATGATACCAAAGCCTTTTCAAACTCACAGAGGAACTCCAACCTTAGTCCCAGTAGGAGGAGGCTTCAATGATTTCTAGCATTTTCTCTAGGCAGGGCTCAACCGACCCTCAGCTACTTCAGATTCCTAAGGTACAGGCCCAGTCTCCAAATGGTGAGCACAATACTCACTTTGCTCTACTCAAGGCCATCATCCAAGAGTAGACTGACAGAACACCCCCACACTGATCCCTCCCCTCCAGAACAAAACCAGAAGGACATTCTCACTTCTCAAGACCATTCAGGAGTTGATAGAAAACACGGCACAACCAGGCCTTCAGCAAGCCCTCTATTCTGTTTAGTTTTCATGCTAACAAAGCCCATTCTACTTAAATTTCAAAAATCAGAAAGTTGTTTTGGAAATGGAATTATATGACCCTCTCAGAGGAATTAACAACCACAGTTAAGCATTCTGAAGGGGCCATGAGTGTTAAAAGGTAAAGGCAGGCGAGCCACCTAAGACATTACCATTCTCCCAATGTCTTTAGTCCTGACAATCCTTAGGAATCTGATATAGATGAGGGTCAGTCTAGTCCTACATGGAGAAAATGCTGGAAGTTATTGACCCACGCAGTCTTGGCTTTGCCATCAAGTCACTCCCATCTTGCCCAGACTGCTCGGCAGAGATATTTTCCTATTGGAAAGAGGCAGAGGAGGTGGCCTCACTTTCTGACTGGGCTCAGCTCTGCTCACCATGGGACGGAGCTGGGTTTTAGAGACTGCCGTCAACACTTGCTCCTTACCGTGCCCTTCCCAGAAACTCTGTACACAATCCCCTTCTCCCAGCTGGATTAATCTGATTAATATTTTTTCAGGCTCAGTAAACAAGAAACTCAATACACCTGCCTCACATGTGTATTGAGTTTCTTGTTCCTCATCACACGGGGTGAAAACAAGAAAACAACCAAGTGTTGCTTTGATACGCAGCCTCAATTACCCAGATAGACTTATAGCCCACTGTGTAATATTTTAATAAAAATGCCAGATAAATATTTGCTAAATGACAATTTATAATCCTGTTCCAAGTACAAACATATATTAGCTACTAACATACTTGCCACGTACAAGAACACAGTAATTTGTATTGTAATATCCCAGTACCTGTGTGCATCAGATTTTCAGTCTGTCAAGGTTAAAAGAGCATTTTTGATGATGGGTGTGTCTTTAAGAGACAAATTTAAGGACACCCCAGGAACTGTATACATTATTTTTGTTCACAGATAATAACTTTATAAGTAAAGTGAAATATTCATTTTGAGCAAGTAAGGATGGCTTTTTAAAAAATTGAGATATAACTGACATATATAATTATATTAGTTTCAACATAATGTTTGTACAACATGATTTGATATTTGTATATACTGTGAAATGACCACATGATAAGACTAGTTAACATCCATCACTGTATCTAGCTACAATTTTTTTCTTGTCATAAGATTTACTCTCTTAGCAACTTTCAAGTATACAATACAGTATTATTAATTGTGGCCACCCCACTGCACATCTCATCCCATGGCTTATTTATTTAATAACTGTAAGTTTGCACCTTTTGGACTCCCCTCACTCATTTCACCCACTCCCAACCTGAGGATGCCTTTCTATACTGGTTTCAGCCACAGGATTAAATATAAAACACACAGACCTCAATTAAAAAAAAATACAATACACCAAAGGAAAAGGAGTGGCCAATTCAGAGTAAAAAGCCTTGGTTTTCAGTCTCACTTCTGTTAATTACCAATAAAACTGTCTCAGGCTAATGATGTTACATGTGAGTTTTATCCTTACCATCACCATCATTTCTGCCTTATAAATAAGGAAATTTATATCATTTCCCTGATCACTGTGAGATCCAGACCCAATCCACTCTTTGAAAGTATTTTACTAGCAGCTTTATAGAGTATATATGGGACGGTGACTCATTCCACCAGGAACAGGCTCCATTTTCCACTGTCCACATTTTAATACATACCAAGAGCCTTAAAACATTCATAACTGATGAAACAAGGGTGATGCAAGGGCAACGGTATATGGGAGTTTTTCATACTATTCTGTTTGCTTTTATATATGCTTGGAATTTTCCAAAGTTCTTTTTTTTTTAGTTTTTATAACTAGTTGATTCATTATTTTTTACCCTCCTTCTGAAGCTGTAGAATATTTTCATAGTGCCATGATTCTTCTGGTTTTCCATTTTTATAACCCAAGGTTGATAGGTTTCTCTCTGGAGATCTGTCCGTCCCTACCCAGCTCCTTCCTAAAGGAGGGCCCTAGATCTGCCCCAAAGACAGATCAGTAGGTCAGAGTCTCTTCTGCGAAGTAGGAAGGGGGCTACTTGGAGACATGGGTGTTCAACACCAAGCCACGTGCATTTTTCTGTTTTTTTCAGGAAGACTGACCCATGCTGTAACTGGTTACTAGCACTGTAAGATTCTCTCGCACCCATGCTCCCAAACCAGTCTAAGTGCAGGCTGAAGCAGTTTCTAGTGTGGGCATTAAAGCATCTGATCCTGCACCCCATCCTTATTCTGCATATAAAGTTTGAGGTTGGAAATCATTCGTCCTCAGTTCCTGTCTTTCCTCATCCATTGCTGGTAGATCAAAGTCATTCTGATTCTTAGTCCTCTTGTACATCAATACATCACCTCCCTCTCCCTTTCTTAAAAACTTTTAAAATCTTGTTCTAAAATTTTGCAGTGATATGCTGTGGGTTAGTTCTCTCTTCATTCCTCTTGCTGGGTAATTAGCATGTCCTTTTAATCTGAAGACTCAGGTCCTTTGGCTTTGGAAGATTTTCTTGTATTATTTCTTCCGTAATTTCCTTTCCTCAGTTTTCTCCTTTCTCTTAATTAGGAACTCTTAGCAGTCAGATGCCAAACCTTTGAGATTAATCCTCTATATCTCTTACCATTCTTTCACATTTTCAGTACTTTACATTTTTGTCCTACCCTTTTTTTTTTTTTAGCAGAAAAGGGGAGGGAGAGGGGTGCTCAGAGGGAGTGGACGGCGGGGTTGGGTTAGAGGAAGCTGACGTGCTGGGGATATCGGAAAAGGGGAGGGGGAGAGATGCTCAGGGGGAGCGTTTTGTCCTACTTTTAAACTACTTTGTTTCCTTGTTTTACTTTCCAAGATTGCCTCAATCTCATCTTTCAACTTTACTCAATATACACTCCTATGAAGGTTTCACATGAAAAACAATGTGGTTATTACGGTCGTATCATAAAGTCCTCCCCATACCCCATTGAAGTCACTGTCCATCAGTGTAGCAAAATGTCACAGAGTCATTATTTGTCTTCTCTGTGCTACATTGTCTTTCCCATGATCCCCCCACACCATGTGTACTAATCATAATACCCCTCAATCCCCTTTCCCACCCTCCCCGACCCTTCCCCTTTGATAACCGCCAGTTCCTTCTTGGAGTCTGTGTTTACTCTTCAATTTTATCTTATCAATCATTAACTTTCAAGAGCTCTAAAATTATCCAATTGTCCTTTTCCCACAGCAGTCTGTTTTTATTAAGCAGATGTTATACCTCCTTTAACCTTCAGAGAGCACTAATAAGATTTTCTTCCAAACTGCATTTCTTCATTTAATTCACATAACTTGGTTTGCCATGTGTTCTATTTTTATGTCTATGAGGCAGTCCAGTCCGTATGTCTGATCCTGCCCGCTAAGGAAGAAGGAAACCATACCACATGTAAATAGGCAATAATCAATTTCTTTTTGATACTTTTTGATTTCATGACTACAACAAAGCATGCACCTAAGTACACAAGAAGCCAGCTTACCTTCATGGAGTCAGAGTATAAAATATATTCCCTGAGCACAGGTAGAAAGTCTTCTGTCATGTCATCCGTCAGTTCTTCCAAGGCTGTAGAGCAGTTGCCAATGCAAGCTGACACACCCTCCAGGGGTTCAGCCAGCTCCCCCTCCAAGGCACTCCATGTGGAGTACACTGGCCCATATTCTCTCAGCTCTACAAGGTACTCTAAAGGGGGAAGAGGAACCAGTTATGATCTAGCTGCACAGTAATCACTGGTAGTTACTACTGTAGCCAAGAACTCTCTACAGTAAGATGTGTTTCCCCAGCCATTCACTCAGCTGAGCGTGCTCTCCTTTCAACACAACACTGCTTATAATTTTTTTGTAGATTTCTAAAAGCTGATGCTACAGCTAACACCGTAACATCATCTCACTCTATCCCATAGTGGGAATGCCATGCCTCTGGATATTGGAGACCACAGTGCCTTCTGAGGAAAAGTCACAGGAGCTACATCATTAAATATCTTAGAAAATAACCATTCACCTACTCATATAGTGAAGTAGTATTTTGACAGGCAATGGGGGCAGAGTTTCATATAGGCTTAAGGAGATGTTTTTAAAGGAAAAAATTATCAGTCACAGTGGAAATGTAATGGGGGTTTAGAAAACATTTTGATGCAGATGTGATCTTACACAGGCAGATTCACTCTCACTCAGGGGTGACCCCAACACCTTGGTCCCTGCATCCTTACTCCCTATGATCCTTAGATGTGGATGGTACCTAAAGCTATCACTAACGGCTGCAGGCCCCGCATGAGACCATCAGTGGGTAAAGCACAGGGAACAAAGAAATAGGTTGATTTACTTCCTCCCACAAAGAAAATCTGGCCCATTTTTTACCAGGATTCTTGCTATTATAATATGTTGTTCCCATTTTTGGTAACCAATAGATGAACTGGCTCTGGAGAATCCTTCTCAACATGTTTCATATTACATGCTAGTATGATTAGTAATCAGCTTTGTTTGGCCTGCATGTGTGTATGGATACAGAAGGGCAGGTGGCCACAAGTGGGGTGGGGAAGGAATGGTGTCAACAGCCCAGAAGGTTAGAGAAAGGCCTCATGTAACTCCACAAGAAAGGATGAGTGGGTTTGAAATGAAGCAGGGTGAGGCAGGCAAGTCAATTTCAAGTCCAAAGGCTCATGAGGGTAACTCTGGCAAACACAGGTCACCCTGCTGTCCTCTCGAGCCATCTTCCTATCAGAAAAGATACCAGTTTGTTTTTTAAATGATCATTCCCATGAATAAAGGGAAGTTGAGTCAATATCTCCACTTTTAAAGCTCAAGTTAGAGGGGAAGTGAAGAGCCAGAGGCCCAGAAGTGGCCGTCTGCCCTGGGGAAGCAGGCACAAGGCTGAGGTGCAGGGCAAAGGGCACAGCACAAAACTATACTCTGGTCTCCACCACCTAGTCCCTTCCTTGTACTTATTTATTAGTCTCATAATTAAAATATGGCCTAGTTCTGTCATTCCAGCACTCTGCAGTTTGAGTCTGCTTGGCACACATACATGCCATTTCTGCAAATGTGGTCCTGGGGCAGGATCAAGACCTCAACCAAAAGCTCACCTATTTCTTCTTTGATGATCCGCTGGGCTATTCGATCAATGGTTCCAAGTTTGAGAGCAAATGTATCCAAGTAGTCACCAATGGCTGCGAACTCCAGAGGTCGACTCCTCAGCTTGTAGCCTCCGGTGACATGCTTGACCGACTCGCCCACCCTAGTCAGCAACGTGATCCCTTGCTTCTTGTAGGCGTTCAGGTCCTACAAGTGACACATGAACAAACCACCTCTGAGGCTCAGTCAACTCACGTGGTCAGGATCAGTAAACCAACTCCTTCAATGGTTTCTTTCTGGAAATGGTAGACTCAGAAAATAAGGAGCTGAGGTAGAAGACTAACCACACACACAAGAGCACCCTCTTCTTGCCCTCACAACCTCCAAGCTCACATGCCTGGGCATTTACACCCATGTCTCTTTCACCAGAGCTGGTCTCCTGCCTTTCTATCAGGTTCCTCACCTGGGCATGCTCTGCTTTACACACAAACGCCATTCTAACATAATTTTTTTAAATCGTGGCCAGAAAGAAGTATCCCTTTCTCCCATACAAAATTACCTAAGTCATCTTTAGGAGCAAAATTCAAGAGGTAAAATCATTCCATCATTCATTTATATCCCAACCAAAGCCATATAATGAAGCAAGTAGAGAAAGTAGGGAGTAGACAGTGGGGAGCAGGAAACAATGACAGAAAAAGCAGTGCTAGAAACCTAAGCCAAGGATAGATGCTGTACAAACAAAATGTTTTACCTGGAATTTCTTAGTAAGGGTACAGATGCAAATGTATAGGGTTTCATAATCTGTTGTATCTAAATTTTAAAAGCACATTCACCTGCCAGGTAAAACAAGCTTCTTCCTATCACTAAACTCTAAGAAGAGTCCAAAATATCTCAGGTTGGTCTATGTTACTTACCTTAATGGTGCCTTCAAAATGGTTTTTACAGAAGATCAGGTATCTGCTCCTTATACCCACCCTCCATACGAACAGAATATTAATTCCCAGTCCCAGAAGGGCATGATTACAGGGAGATAAGGGAACATGACACGAGGCCATAGCTTTTTGGTCACCTCACCTGATTTGGGGATAGAACAGAAAACAGGGTATCATGGCTAACACAGCTGTCTGACAGTCCCTGCTTTCGACACACATCACAGGCTCAGGTCTCTGTAAGTGTATGTAGTAGAGACAACTCTTAACTTCGCCTCCTTCTTCATTTTTGCTCTTGATTCCACACTTTCCTATCCACACCTCCCCTCAACAACAAGGCTCTGGTCCATCAACTATCCTCTCTCCTGTCTCTCTCTTCAACTTTTAAAACATACCCACAGCTCACCCAACTTAAAAGCAGCAGCAATTTCCTCCCTTTCAAAGTCACACTACCTGAACAAACACTCTAAAGATTCCATCTCCATTTCTAACTTTATAAACTCCAGTCAAAAAAGCATCCCCATAGGCACCAGGCTTTCACAAGACAGTAACTGGAGCGTTGGAGTTCTTGGCATTGCTTCCACAGACAATACTTTTTTGGAGTAGATCAAAATTGGCCTGTGGATTGCATGAGCTCTATTTCAAATAAGAGTGTGAAAAGAGAACCCGGCCAAGTTAACTGGCATGTTCAACAGTAGTTAACAGTACCTGTCTGATTGCTGTACTCATCCTGCCAAAGATGAAATTACTGACTTGAACACAGCTGATACGGGGTGTCCCCACCACCTCCTGGCATTACCAGCTTCTTCTTAAGGAAACTTCTAGTTTGTGACAGGATCATGTTATCACAAGGAAAAGGGATGAATCTGCCTTTGCTGTAGCAAACATTTGAGTGGCTCATCTAAGACCAAGACCAGTTATTCAAGGTGTGTTAAAAAAAAAAAGATGGGAGGCCAGGGGAGGGAAGGGGGAGATAGGAGCTGTTTTTCATAGGTGCAGAGTTGCAGTTTTCCAAGAGGAAGACATTCTGGAGATTTATTACACAACAATGTGAATATAGCTAACACTATTGAACTGTATGCTTTTAAATGGTTAAGGTGGTAAATCTTATGCTATGTGCATTTTATACCAATTAAAAAGAAAAAGGAAAGGGACTAGAAGGTGGAGCTCTTTAGTGCATTAAAGTTCAGCAAGTAAAACTGAGATCAGTGTGGGATTTGTTCTACTGAGAACCACCTTCTCTGCACTTACTCACAGAATTGGGTTTTGATTCAGACACTGAAGGACTTTTTAAAAAATAACTCCATCATGTCTGGCCCACAGATGAATACCACACACCCACAAAAATCTTTCCTACTTATTGTTCACACAGATTCCTAACGACCAGGGGCCCAGGCTTTTCCCGCCTTTGTTTCTGTTTCCAGAAAGGTGACCAAGTGTGAGGCCTGCCTGGACACTGACTTGAAACTTGGATGGACCATGAGCTTTGGAGAACGAGATGGGTTTTACTTTGTGTATAAGCTGAAAGAACTATCTCCAAAGGTCAGTTCACGAGGGAAAACTTATTTGAGAAACAATCACAAGTTTGACCCATGGGGGAAGAGGTCTCTGGGAAAAAGAGACGATAAATCAGAATGTCTTCAATGAGGCTTATATACCAATTACAGTTTTTAAAAAACAACAACAAATACTAAAGGACTTTGTCAATGTGGTTTCCATTGTCTGGACAATGGCATCCTGTGTAAAGTCTTTAACTTCAACTGATGTTACCTGAAAATATTTCTCAATTTGGCCATTTTGAAAAAGAACACTGGAAAGGGCCTCGATACCCTTGCCAACACGGAATGAATTACCGATGACCTGAGTATGGGAATATGATACATGGAACTGAACAGCCGGCGCTGGAAGGGAGCCGGCGTGCAAATCTGCGTGTGAGATCCCACTTCCGCAGACATTCAGAGAGGAGCACCTCAGGTCTTCCGGCCAGTTCTGCCAACAGTGAAGTGGAGAGGATGATTTTTGGGGAGCCAACTCAATGGCCAACTTGCATTTGCATACACAGAATCTGGCAACTGTGTAGGACCCAAATATTTCTGGCCAATGCCTGGAAAATGCCCACCTGACAGGAACTTGGCTGCAGGCAAGTAATACTGACCTCCTCTCACTCAGGCCTTCTGATACAGAGGAAAAAGGGCAGCCTCAGGAGCCACAGAGACCCACCTTCAGATCCTAGTGCTGCCACTTGAGCCAGTATGAACTCCCTGAATTTGAGATTCCTCATCTGTGAAATGAGGCTATGAGTAACCACTCACAGACCTCTTGTGCAGAACAAACTTAACAGATACTCAACAGACCTTCTTTCCCTTACATGCACACTGCTGGTCAGAACCACCTCACCCAGTAAATAGGCCAAAAAGCATTTAAGGATACCCTTCTTGCTTTTGGCAAGTGAAAAATATTCTAAATTCCTCTGCTACTGCAAAGGGGTGTTTCTCCTGAATTTTAACACAGAAACCATGTTAATGCAAACAGACACCAAAAAAAATCACTTTTATGACATCCACTAGTGGGCCACGCATGAAAGTGGCTTATGAGAGATCAAAACAGCTTTTAAGAAAGAGCCCTGAAGAATGTTATTTTAGGGGAAGAATATGAAAATGTCTGCCCTTACCTTAGCAGTGAGAAAAATACTGAAGTGTTCATTGAAAGAGAGCACAGGATGATCTGTAATTCTTTTCAGGAATTTATCCAGAGCTTTTCTTCTGGTCTCCACAAACTCTTCTGAAAAACGATCCACAACACCTTTCACCACGAACTTCTCAGGAAGCGGCTATGAAGGCAGGAAGGAAAGTGTTCAGAGTGATCAGTAAGATGGTGGAAAGAAAAACCACCAGCCTAGCAAATAATTCCTGCGACCCATCGGTCCAAGCACACTATTTCTTCATCAGTGGGATCTCTATGTAATCATCAATATAAATTCATTGAAAGAGAGCACAGGATGATCTGTAATTCTTTTCAGGAATTTATCCAGAGCTTTTCTTCTGGTCTCCACAAACTCTTCTGAAAAACGATCCACAACACCTTTCACCACGAACTTCTCAGGAAGCGGCTATGAAGGCAGGAAGGAAAGTGTTCAGAGTGATCAGTAAGATGGTGGAAAGAAAAACCACCAGCCTAGCAAATAATTCCTGCGACCCATCGGTCCAAGCACACTATTTCTTCATCAGTGGGATCTCTATGTAATCATCAATATAAATATGTCTGAAAAATATACATGGAATAAATCACAACTACCCTGTTAATTTTATAATGCCAGAAATAAACCACTAGAGCACATTCCCTAGGATACAGAAAAACCAGTCAATATTTGTCCAGTAAATACAACTGTATGGTTATCTTTATGGTGCTTGGTGCATAGGTGATATAATGGGAAAATGAGGTCAAGAAAGACAGGCTAAGGAAAGAAGGCAGGCAACGTCAACCACACAAAAATTCATTTTATTTAGATTCTATCCCCAATTCAAGGGGGAAAAGAACATGGTGAAAGGAGAAATAAGTGCCTTAGGCAAACCCAGGCATCAAACACCTTTTCTAAGCCTTTTTTTTTTTTAGATTTACACTGAAAAGTTCTTTAAAGTGTAACTTCCTTTACTCCTTCTAAGTCAGACAAATTTCTCTAACATATTTACTTTGTGCCAGTATTGTAGGCAATTTAAACTGCCTGGCTATCAAGGGATCTTTGAGCTTTTACCTATTTCCATAGTAACTTTATCAAATGCTTGATTAAAAGGCCGTCCTCATTACCCTCACCACTGGGAGAGAGAGTATCTGCTAGTGCACAATTTGAAAATGTTTTGGTTATGAAATATTAAAAGAACATTAACATTAAAAAATGGGCAAGTGACCTGGTAGACACTGCTCCAAAGGAGATACACAAAGGGCCAACGAGCACATGAAGATGCTTCCCATCACTCATCATTAGGGAAACGCAAATCAAGCCCACAGTGAGTTACCACTTCACAGCCACTAGGATGACCGTAATAAGGAAGGAAGGAAGGGAGGGAGGAGCAAGCGGTGGGGAGAATGCGGAAAAACAGCGTTCAAGTATGCAACCTCCTTAAGCCCCACATTATGGCAGTGAAGGAGCTTTTCTTTTAAATTATAAACCCTCAAGCACACACACCACGGAAATAAGGACCTGGCCAACCCAGAAAGTGGGCTCCTAAGTCAACTGAAATGGGAAAGGCAAGAAGCAATACAGATTTATGCCACAAAACCTTTCAAAGATTTAGGAACTAGCCACAGCAGTGCCCCTGGAAGTGAATTAGCTGGGGAGGAGGGAATTCAACAAACTCGACTTGAAAGAGCTTTGCAAGGTCACTGTGTTTCAGTTCTGAGGAGTAAAGACTCTGGAGCCATACCTCCTGGGTCCATCTTTCACCTCTGCTAAGCAGTTTGATTTGGTCTAGTTCTGTAATCTCTTGGTACCTCAGTTTCTTCATCTGTAAAATTTGACACCAACAGTACCCAACTTGTAGGGTTGTTATGAGGATTAAATCAGCTATCAGTTTGAATGTGCTGCAAACAGTTCCTGCCACAGAGTAAATAACACAAGTTTGGGTTTTTTTAGTTGTGGGACTGGCAGCAACTTCAGGGGGCTGCTAATCATCAGAGACAGCTAGTGTTGTGGATCTTGAGGTGATGGCAGAGTTCAGAGAAAAGGCTATGCACTGGAGATTGTCTTGTTACCGGGTCAGGAGTTCTGGAGGGTACAGTGGAAAAGTTCGGAAATGAAGGAAGAGAGGGGAATAGAGTCAGAAATAAAATTACAGAGCCATGTGAGGATAACATGTCCAAGTCAGACGCCCAGTGCACCTACGCTTGGGGAGAAGAAATACGCGACGGGGTCAGACCAGTGCTCTGGCCCAGGCACAAGCACTGGAGAGGCTACCTTGATAGGGTCTAGCTGTCCTTAGGATAACTCCTTTATTCTGATCTGTTCTCCCCTTCCCTTAGGCAGCCATTCTCTTAAACCCTCCACTCAACCCCAACCTCTCAAGCTAAGCAGATCACCACCTCTCCGAAGCAGGAACCAGGCAGAAGTGCATCGCATGCAAATTCCCTACCGTTTTGCTTCATCTACAGAAACCCATCTACTGGAGACCACCCTCACCTCCACTCCTCAGGCCCCCGTGGACAACAAAGCTATTCCATCTGGGGCCTTGACCCATGAGTTCTTTATCACGCACTTGTGACTATCAGTTAGTTATACCTTCTTCCTTGTATCTTCAACATCTCCTCATCTGGCTGTTCCCTGAGTTTACAAAAATAAGGCTGGTTTTCTCTTTCTACTTGAAAAACAAATCCAACTATCCCTCGACCTTACATCATCATCTCCACTCTCCTTCCTGTCTCAACCTTTTTGAAAAGTATCGCCTATCTTAACTTCCACTCGTTCCATTGGTTTCTCAGCCCCCCAACCTTCCTCCACCCCAAAGCAAAGCCACCTTTGGTACTGCCTTCAGTGCTGCCTTCCTCTGCCCTATCCCTAACCCAACACAGGAAGTGCTCTTTTAAAGATGATCAACGACCTTCTAATTACCAAATCTAGCAGGTATTTCCCTGATCTTATCTCATGGGTCCTGTTGAGCATATTCTCATTTGCTTATACTGAGCAGAACTTGGGAGGAAGCCTAATAAGCAAGTAAGTGGTTAGGTGTGCCTCATTTCACATAACAGATGACCTCCCAAAATAGTTATCCATTCTTCAGATTTGGTACATTGAACTTGATGTTAACAAGTCAGGGAAGCTCACTATTTAAAGGAACCCTGGAGCGAATCCTTTTGCACACAGGATTTCCTTCTGTAAGAAGCATTTTTATTCCCAAATGTACATGGCTTCAGAAATTTGTTTCTTCCTATTTCAAGCCTCCTTAAGGTGACACACCCATTCTCAGCCTCACCTTTACAATTACCTTCTGGGTTGTTTATGCATAGGAATCTGGGCTGCTGGTGAAATCAAGTGCTCCTATCGACTATAAGTGAGAAAATGCACATAAAGAGCTCAGCACAGTCCCAAACAGAGGGCAGATGTCGAATGAATGCCAGCTATTTTGATTAATTTGTAAACAGCAAGAACAGAAAACAACAGGGGAGTGGACTCTAGGGTGGAACTTCCATATATCTTTTCAGCCAAAATGTTTTAAAAAATCATCTGGGATATCATTTCACAACCACTAGGATAGCTATAAAAGAGAAAAAAAGGGAAATAAACTTTGGCAGATATGTGGAGAAATTGGAGTCCTCATACGTTGCTGGTAGGAATGTAAAATGGTACAGCCACCGTGGAAGAGTTTGGCAGTGCCTTAAAAATTAAACATAATTACCATATGACGCAGCCAATTCCATTCCTTGGTGTGTAGCCAATATAACTGAAAGCAGGTGCTCCAACTAAAACTTCTACAACAAATGCTCAAGCAGCATTATTCCAACACCTAGGTTGGGAGAAGGGCGGAATGAGAAGAGATTGCTTCATGAGTGCGGGGGGTTCCTTTTGGGGGTGATGAAAATGCTCCAGAATTAGACAGTGGGGGTGATGGTAAAACATTGTGAATGTACTAAAAGCCACTGAGTCGTACACTTCTGAATTTTATGTCATGTGAATTTTTAACCTCAATTTTTATAAAAAGATGTGATAGAAGCTGATGTCAGAAAATGCTATGCTGCTGGCTTTGAAGATGATAAAAGGGGCCAGAAGCTAAGGAATGCAGGCAGCCTCTAGAAGCTGGAAAAGGTCAGGAACAAATTCTCCCTGAGAGCCTTCAAAGGAACACAGCTCTACCTACAACTTGATATTAATCCACTGAGACTGATTTTAGATTTTGACCTACAGAACTCTAAGGTAATACATTTCTGTTGTTTTAAGTCACTTAAAAACAAAACAAAACAAAACAAAACAAAACACACCTGGTATAAGGTGAGGGAATGGGTAGGGATGGAGATGAAACAAGATGAGCAAAGAGTTGATAAATATCACAACTAGGTGATGAAAGCATGAGAGCTCATTGCACTGAAACCCTCTACTTTAGTATATTTGACATTTTCCATAATGAAAAAGTTTTTTAGAAACTATACATGCATATGTATATTAGAACTTACCAAGAAATCCTATTTGCAAAGCATTATAACAACTCATTAAATATTTCAAGGTTTAATCTTAAAACATTCATAGTTTTATAGCCCTTGATGCTTTGGTAAAGCACTTTCACCATATATTATATTAGTTATATTATATTTCATATTAGTTTATAAGAATATATTTTATAGTCTGTGAAACAAAAGCATACATATTTCCTGTAGGTTGTCACTGGAAAGCTGTATTTCCAAGTGGGGAAGGACAAAGTGATTTAAATTGGTTCTTTGCAATTCAACAAATGTTTAGCACACACCTACTACATGACAGAAAACTATTTTTCCTATCCTTATTAAATTAACAGGTAATACTGCTCTTCAGCAAAAATAACAAAATAAATGAAAAAATATCCAGATTAAAAGCCTTGTCCCTATAAAGAACCACCACCAAGCCTGGTTTAATTCAAAGCATTTGAAAGTTCAGGCAATGTTCAACTACTATTAACTGATCTACTAGTAGGTAAACTAAAAGCATGTACATACTTTCTTAACAGTACAAAAAAAGGTGGAACCAACTAGAAAGTGAAATTAGAGTTTTTACTTATTTTTTCATGTTAAGAGAAACAACTGTTGCGTTACAAATTTCTTATTAATTCCTTTAAGTTTACCATTAGAAAATAACAAAGCTGGGTGCATAATAAATACAAATGCATCCTTCTAGCAAACCTTCCTTCATAAAAATTGAAGCAAACATTAAATTTCCAAGTGAAATCATACACTAAAGACTTTAATATATTTGCTTCACTTCTCAAATTTATCTGTGCCCACTGAATTATATAACCTTCTGTGTAACTAACTAGTTGTGCCCCAGCAAAAGAAGCGGTATTAAAACCAACGTGTGAGCCAAAAAATAAATTAAAAAATAAAACCATGTCACAATGAAGACTTTCTAGCGACTGTTAGACCATAAAGTGAATTGTCATAATGAGATAGCAAATACATGCATCCAGCACACTTCTAGGTTTAAGATGGCATTTTTATTTCTTTCGCTTTTAAAATTACAGAGGAACAAAGCATATAAAAAGAAAAGAATCTGTTGCAGCCCTGGAAAATACAAAGGTAGTGTTAATAGGCCAGAATTTGTTAAAGACTCGAAACAGGAAAGACTGGATGAGAGGAAAGTCACTCCATATGGCCCATCTCGTGATTCTACTCAGGTAAGGGAAAGGTCAGACTAAGAAGTTAAGGGTTGGGTTTCTCCAGGAGAGCCCCAGAAGCTGCCGGTTCAGAGCCACAGGGACTAGGAACAAGGGCAGGCCTCTAGACAGCCAATGGGGAAAGGCAAAAGAAAGAACTTGGGTACCTCCCCAGAACCACAGTCTGGCTAGCTGTTCACCTACAGCTTTCCCCGGCTGCAGTGAAGCCCGGGCAGGGTGGGAACTGCATCTCCATATTCCTGACACAAACAGTAGAATTTGAAAGCTCAGGAATTCTCACACATTTTTAACCAAGCTGACTTAAGTTGGCAAACAAAAACAAGAACAAAAACAAAACCAAACCAGGAACTTAGCACCATTCCTCCAAATTTTCCAACTGATTCAGAAAATTCTAAAATTAACCTTGAAAAATAACATGTGCAAACAACTTACAAAAGCTCTGAAAACAAAGTATACTGGGAGGTGGGGATGGAAAGGGACCTGTCTAACCAGATGCTGAAACATTCTATAAAGTTACAATAATTCAAATTATGTAGGAGGGCACCAGACTAGAGACACAAATGGAAATGAACCAAAAAGTTGAGAAACAGCCGAAGGGTATACAATGCATGATACAGTCTAATACACAAACAATGATAAAGGTGATTGATCACTCATAAGTGGTTCTGTGACAACTCACCATTGAAAAAAGTTCTTCCCATCGCACATCAGAATAAATTCTAGATTTAAATATAAAAAAATGAAGACATAAAAACAATAGAAGAAAATGCAGAAATATATTTTTAACATCTTAGGTTAGAAACAGACTTCAAACCAGAAACTGTAAAGGAATGACTAACTTGGCTGGGAGGGAAGGGGTATTATTTTTTATGGAGTCAAGTCTAAGACAAATGACAACTGGAGAAAAAACAGATATTCCTAACTGGGTTAATTTCCATTGCAGATATGGAGCTTCTAAAAACCAATGAAAACTAGAAAAATGAAGAGGTAACTCAGAAAAGAAATGCCAGTGTCCAATAAAGTCATCAAGATATTCAGCCTCACTAATGAAATGAAAACTTACTGTACAAAAATGAAATCAAAATGGATGAAAGACCTAAAGCTATGAAAATCTTAGAAGAAAACATAGGTATAAGTTTCACAACCTAGGATTAGACAATGGTTTCCTAGATGACAGCAAAAGCAAAAGCAGCCAAAAAGATAAAATGGACTCCATCAAAATGAAAAACCTTTGGACTGCAAAACACACTGTCAAACAAGTAAAGAGACAACCCACCTAATGGGAGAAAATTGTTGCAAATCATGTTTCTGATAAGGAACTTGTATGTAGATTATATAAATAACATTTAAAACTCAATAATAAAAAGACAACCCAATTTAAAAATAGGTGAAGGATCTGAATAGCTATTTCTCTAAGAAAGATGACAAATGGCCAACAAACACGTAAAAATTGTTCATCATCATTAGCTACCAGGGAAATGCAAATCAACACCACAATGAGATACCACTAGGTACTCACACCCTCTAGGATGGCTATAATAAAAAAGGCAGCTAATATGGAGAAACTGGTATATGAATTATATCTCAAGTTGTTTTTGAAATGAAGATTTAAACAGTAATTACATTGCATGTTTACTGGGTCTCCATCTGACAACAAACTTGTCTATCTTATAACCCCTGACCTCCCCAAGGGTACTCACCAGGCCTAATAGAAAACACAAAACGATGCTTAAGAGACACCTTCTAGTAAAGTTATGTAAAATGAATTTCTATAGAGGAAAGAGTCTGTTTCCAGTTTGACTTTCACACTTAAGTCAGAGATGCTCTCCTATACTAAATCTCTGTCCACCTCAGAAATGCACCGAGAAATAATGAATAAATTTTAGTCTCTACTTGCTCCTAAAGTATCGTTCTACTCACTTCATAGGAAACCATACTTAAATATACTCAGGATCATTCCTGAGCATTCTGGAGACACTTCCGTTTTCTTTCAGCTGGGGGCTTCATGGTCTATACAGGAGTGCTACTACGTTTCACCAGCAGGTGTCGCTGTGTAACCATTGCTCTTTAAGTACCACACTTCAAATACACTAGGTGCCAGCAGGCGGAGACTAATTCCCCTTATGCACAGTGCGCGCTACCAGTAAAGAGCAACTTCCTTCCAGAGAGTACACTATGGAAAAGGAGAGAAAAGAGAGTAGCTGTACGGTGAAGAAACCTGTCAAGCACTACCTCAAGTCAGGGATCAAAGCTAAAATTAACAGCGATAAACACTTTTGATGGTATGTACCATTGATGTGACAAGAATGGCACTTTTCCTCCCCAAAACACATTACCCCAGTGCAATCATGAGGAAAATTGTCAGACAAATCTCAACTGAGGAACATTCTTCAATGCTTGACCAGTACTCTTCAAAACCCTCAAGGTCACCAAAAACAAGGAAAGCCTGAGAAACTGTCACAACCAAGAAGCTGAAGGAGAATGACAGTTAAACGTAGTAGTGTCCTGGATGGGATCCTGGAGCTGAGAGAGGGAATTAGGCAGAAACTGAGGAAACCTGCATATAGGGCTTTTCGTCAATAATAATGTATCATTGCTGGTTCATTAATCATGACAAACATGCCATACTAATGTAAAATTATAATAGGCAAAACTCGGGGAGGATGAGAGAGGGAATTAGGCAGAAACTGAGGAAACCTGCATATAGGGCTTTTCGTCAATAATAATGTATCATTGCTGGTTCATTAATCATGACAAACATGCCATACTAATGTAAAATTATAATAGGCAAAACTCGGGGAGGACGGCATGAGAACTTTCTGTGCTATCTTCACAGAATTCTGGAAATCTAACACTGTCCTAAAATAAAGTCGTTTTTTAAAAAATTCACTAGCTGCCAATTTTGCCAAATTAAGACTCTATTCTAAGAAATAGTTCCAACAGTTTAAAAACCATAGTTTCTTTCCCGGAGAAGAACGGCGTTCCAGGCGAGTCTCATCATTTCCGCCAGAGCAGTAGCAACAGAGCTGCTTTCGCCTTGAAAACCAAGAAAATCACCAGTGTTCACAGCATATTTAGCCTCTTCCAGCCACGGGGAGAAGCAGCTTTGCAGCTTTGGAAGATTCAATGAAAGCACGAAAATTGGCAGTGCTAAGAAGTTATTCACCCCGGGTTTTTACTGAAAGATAAAGCCCCTCAGGAGAGTTTTATGACCCAAATTGCCCTAAAGCCCCCACATCTGAAGTCTAAATAGTTACTATTTTTTTTAAAAGAGTAGTCATAAAAGTACTCAATATCTATGTTGATTTAAGTAGTCTTTTAAATTTTACTTGCTCTGGCTCTGTTTTTAAGAAGTGCAGATGTAAGTAATAGATAAATATGATGCTGCTTCAATAAACAGAGGCAGGTGGCTTTTCGGCTTGTTTCTTAAATGAAAACCTGTGGTTGAGTGCCTTGTGTGCTAGATTCCTGCTCCCTGAATTACTGGTGTCTGAAGAAAGCCCAGCCAGCTGTCCCTGCATCATCCTTCGCCTGGTGGCAGCTACCCAGAACCCAAGAATAGTGTCCAGAAAGGGTGGAACAGACAGGCCTTAAGGAGGCAGCAAATGAGAATTAGGACTCGCCATACCTCAAAAAGTTAACTGCATAATTAAGGGAAAAATCTTCCCCACCCTACTCAGGAAACCGTCAGACTGTACAGGAGATCTGTACCCAAAACCCAAAAGGTGAAGTATATTACACAGCATCTGTAAGTGTGTTTGGCAAACCTCTGAGGAATCTGGTATAAAATATAAGACAGAGTTTGCCTGTAATTTAAGGGATGAGAAACAAGTGAACATCCTCCGGAAAGAGAGTGCAGGGGAAGTGGGGACCAAGCTGTAATGACTTAGAACCTACGGGAATAAGATGAGTGGGCTGGGATTCTTCCAGTTTGTTCCTCAACCAGTCAAAATCCTGGTATCTTCGACGGACAGAATATTCTGGCAGGTCAAACTCCACCCGAGTACTCTGCAAATAAGAAGAGTGGAACAAAGTAAATATAAGGAATAGCAGCATATCTTGGCAGAAGGGAAGGAAAAAAGCTCTTTGAATAACCAAGGTGGGCAAGAGCACCCTTTCTTTCCATCAGACACACCAGCCAAATGGCAGGGTTCCCTGACACAGGGCCCAGTTAAAGTATCTGGAAGGAGAATGTTGAGGTGTTTTTTTTTTTCCTATCCTCAGGAAATGGAACTCAACTCCCTCTCAGAATTGTACTTAGAAATATTTGATTCATTTCCTCCAGTCTTAACTTCCTGAGTTTCCTTTAGCAGAATAATTCCACTGAGGATGTTGCTACTGAATAGGAATGGGTGAATCTGATGAAAGTAAGTCTCCTCCTTCTGCTAAATGTGCTGACAAGTTCTGCCAAAGGCAGAGGGGAAACAAACAAAATGTGGCGCTAACAGATCACTTGCTCATTTAGGAGCCAGATTAGATGAAAATAGAAAAGGTTTTACCTAATCGGCCATATTCTGCAGAGCCATAACCTTTAAATTATATTGTATTTTAAATAATAAACAAATCTGGAAGGAAAAAAATACCAAAATGTCATTGTATTGCAGAAAAATATTAACCTCATCCCCTTTCCTGAATTTAAGTTTTCTGAAATGTGATCACAGCACTCTGATAATACAAACCAATGTTAAAAAAATTAATTTCTGAAGACAAGTAGTGATTCTACAACATCTTACTATGCTGATGGACAGTGACTGTAATGGGGTTTGTGGGGGAGACTTGGTGAAGGGGGGACCCTAGTAAACATGATGTTCTTCATGTAATTGTAGATTAATGATAACAAACAAAAATCCCTTAAAAAAATTAATTTCTACCCAAACAAGATTTTTACACATTAATTTGCCTAAAATAAAATTGTATCTCAGATACACCATTTTTCCCTATGAGGGTGTCAACTATATGCCAGTCATAGTTCTCAGAAATGAACGTACGAAATAAAAATGGCTCAAGCTACATTTTCTAAATTTACTCTTTCAAGCCAAAAGTCTGTTTCAAACCAAGACACCAAGAAAACCTTAAGAACACACAAACAAGAGTGATCCATCAAAGAAAAAGTTTGAGCTTTAGCTTTGAAAATTATGATTTCATTCTCCCCAAAAGCCATATTCATGCAGTCTGGGCAAAACTGTGAAGTTAAAGGACTCCACCCTGACCCGCCCCCAACTCACTCTGCATCTTATCCCCTTTTCAAAGTCCCACATACCAGCTTATGCCCATGAAATGTAACCTTTCCTTTGATAGGGGATAGGGGTGGGAAGATGTAGGGAAATTTATTCAACTTAGGTATTTATGATTTATTAGAAGACTCCACAAAGGATTAGTATTTTAGAATTGGAGAGAAAAAAAGGAATACTTAAATCCAAAGAACAACTGGCTGCTTATGAATTTTCAGGCACAGGGGTGATGGACATACTGAGGGCAGGCGGCCGGACTCTCCTCCCCAGGCAGGGCAGGAAGAACCCTACTCCTGAGCAGCCCCAGCATGCCTACCAGATTCCTGAGACACCCCCAAGGCTCCTCAGGAAGGAGAGATCTGGATGGGACATTCTTCAAGACCTCACAAAGCACCCCCAACAGGCCCCATCTGAGGATTTGCCCTTGATGACCGGCCCATGAAAGGTAGATTTTGAAAGGTGACAAATGAACGCAACTCATCTGCATTGTAAATGGCAACAATGGAGGTCTCTATTTTTTGCCCTCCTAAATGTTAGATGATATCAACCGACCACTCCTCTTTATCATCTTTTGCAAATCTACTTCATGATTATAGTTTATGTAACATTTCTACTCTGAGTTTGAAATCAATATTGGGTAACTACAAAAAACAGTACGATAAAACTCAAGTTTTGTTTCTGCTGTAACCAACTTTACTCTTGGGAAACTGGCTGATTTTTTTTCCCCTTCTACTTTTTAAAAAGCTTCACAAAAGGTAAAAAAAAATAAAAGATCAGCCATAATCCTTCTAAACAGAGAAAAAGGAAATTAATATTATAGTTTATATATTTTTTCTGTGCATGTTCATTTACTTACATTTTCTGTATCTTTTTATTTCTGTATCTGTGTCATCATCTTGGGCATCTTTCTAACTCAGTAATTTCAAATCTACATAATCATTTTTAACATATATATAGTATTCCACCAAATGAATATACCATATTTAAACTTAAACCCTATTGAAGTTGATTCTAATTTTTCAATGAATAAACGGTACAACAGTAAATATGACTGAGCACCTCTTTCATAATTCTCTTAAATTCCTAAAGATAGAGCTACTGGTAAATGTGTATAATAGGTATTTTTAATTGACAAATTGCTTCCAGAAATATACCAATTTATATTCTTACCACACATTCTCATCAACACTGCTTATCTTTCATGGACTTATAACTGAAAAAAAAAGATATGTATATAATCCTTTTTTTAAAATTGTGTTTCTTTAATGACTATTAGACTTGAACTTCCTTTCAAATATTTTTTGGCAGATTTTTCTTCTTTTGTGAGGGGTGTTTTTAAAAATATGAGTTGAGTCTTTTTCATTTGTAAAAAGTACTTTATAGCCATTTGCCTATTGTAATTTCCAAAGGGTTTTCTGACACAGAATTTTTTAATCCATTAATCCATCCATTTTTTGCTACTTTTGGTGTCATCGATAAGAAGTCTGCTCCCATTGCAAGCTTTTTAAAAACATTCATGTAGTCTTTCTCTTATTCATGGTTTTATATTTATGTCTTTAATGTTATTCTACATCTAGGATCTACCATTAGAAAGTTTAAACTGTAACAGAGACATCTGTATGATGATGTTCACTGCAATATTATTTAAAATAGCAAAGAAATCAAAGCAACCTAAATGTCCAACAATAAAAAATGATTAAGGAAATCATAGTATACTTATCCTACAGTTATCAGTAACCAGGTCTGTAAGATATTTTTAATGACAAAAATGCTTCAGTGTGGTTTTAAGAGAAAGCAGGGTACAAAATTAATTGTACATACATTATGACTTCATTAGTATTAAAAATTTGGGTATAAAAGGTTGGAAGAAAGATCTAGAAGTGATAATGACAACTGTTCTCCTGCCACTCATCCTTATTTCCAAATTTTCTACCATCCTCACACAATACTTCTTACAGTCACATAAAAGTATTGCACATTTTTAAAAAGCTCCTTTAAGGACATAAGGGATTTAATAAAGCAGTAAAAATGTGATGCTTTGGAAAGCAACAAGGTTCATCATGAAACAGAAGGATACTCATACTCTCTGATCCAATATTCATTTTACTTATTTTTGCCACAACTTGTCTAGAAAAGATACATTGATACATAAGATATGATCAAATGATGTAAAATTAGAAGTAGGTGAAAAATAAAGGAAAAACAAGAACAGAAAATGTAGAGCCAGAAGGTTAGCAAAACACTCACCATGGAATTCTGCACACTGGCTAAAACTGGGCCACAGACGATTCTGTGAATTTCTGGAGAGAAACCTGACAGTCAGTTATAAGCCTCACAGTCCTCATAAAATAAGCAAGCCAATAAAACTCAACCTTGAGTTTGTAGTAAATTTTTCCTCTGTGAAATGCAGGACCTAACTTTGAAAGGAAAATAAAAGTAAAAAGTGTTTACTTCTATTTTCTAGTATCTGTGGTAAATAAAACAAAAAAGAAAAGTGCACATCCACAATTCCATAATCAGAGACAGCGATAGACTGTTTTGTTCTGTGTCCTTCCAAACCATGTTCCACAAGCTCGAGTGACCAGCAAAAGATAACAAGGTCAAGAACACACCTCAAGTCAGATCTACAAATAGGTAATGGAGCACAAGTGTGATAATAAAGAACATTCATTTTTTCATCATTGTTCCAAATGAGTATCTCCTTGCTCATCTCTAGGCATCCATGTCTTTTTTTTTTTTTTTT